CTTTAATTAATAGAGAATAATCTCTATATTATTAAATCTATATTTATACTTAGACTGTAAGACTTCAGTTAATTACAACTTAATGGAAATTAACGATAGTCATTCTGAACTTGGCAAACTTTTATTTTCCGAAATCAATAACTGTATGCAGTTATTGATAAGTTTTCATGGATGTTAAATTCACCCCGTTAAAACCAATACATAATAAGCCATCACACGACTACACTATAAAATATACTTTCTGCCTCATCAAATTTTAATACTATTCGCTCTTCCTTTCCCTGATATAATCTTTTATTTTAGTATGTCTCAGTCACAATTCCTCACAAGGAAATCAGATTGTGAACCACTATAAGTCTATCGACGCCGTTGAGCGACATCTGATGAAACAAAGCAAGCAAAGAAGGCACGGTCTGAATGTAAACCACTATTAGTCTATCAACGCCGTCGAGCGATATTGGATGAAACAAAGCACGCGAAGAAGGCACGTTCTGAATGTAACCAGGAAGGTTTTGCCGATCTTATGCATGATATGCTGGCAGAAATTTTCGTGAAATTGGATGCTTTCACTGTTGCAAGGTGCAAGAGCGCTTAATTTTCATGAAGAAAGACGCTTCAAGATCGTCATCTATTGGCACGTCTTCGCGAGATTGACTCCACTGAAGACAATGGGTTCATATTTGCTTATACGTTAAAAGAAGTAAGTGATGAACCGAATCCAATAACATTTTAAGGATCTCGCCGGGACAATGAGAAGGTTTACCACTTCTGATCAAAAAGTCCGCTCGTGATGCACGAAAACGAAATCTGTGATATTCTTCCAATCACTTGTGATATGGTATCTATGAAGACCTTATGTACATTAAAATGACAATCAAATCTTTACCCGCCATGCAACGCACAGGTAAGTACTAGTATTGTTGATAATCAAATCTATCAACTATTCAATAGAAATTATAAATAAATAGAGAACATGACAACATACATTCAAACTTTTAATTATTATGTTTAAAATCCCGGAAATATCCACACAATGATTATTATGCCAATGCAAAAGGCCTTTGTATTATTATGCTAAGGGAAACTTTCTGGGTGAAAAACTTGTGTACCAAATTCTCCATCGATTTATATCGTGCTCGAAGTTTTTGGAATTTCAAGCTGAAATTATAAAACCTAGAAAATGATGAAAATAATTTTACTTTTTATCTTTTAAATAAAGAATTTTTTATATGCTTTGGTGTATATGTTTCTTGTTGAACTCACCGTGTTTTGATCTTTCTTATTATAAGATTCACTTATGGTTAGTTAAAATATTATTATATGTGTCTAATTACTTAAAGACTGACTTATTACGGAGTATTATTACGACTATATCTCAAATTTCTTATACGAATTATAGCAAATTGTAAGAAGGGATAAGAGTGTTCACTATCCGGGTGGTCCGGTATTTGTTCGTGAACCTAACGGCTAGAACAGTTTGGAGACTTTTAGATTTGACCAAATTAATCCATATTGAACGGTCTGATTTGTACTGTTTTATGGTTTTGGCCACACTTTGGCCTTTTATATTTTGGGCCAAAAGTTGGGATTTTTTTATTTTGCTTTTGGGACAAAAATTAGATTTTATTTTTTTAGTTTGCATAAAAAACAAAACATGGCTTTTTGTCAGCCACCTGAAGTTTTCTGACGAAATGGTTGTCGCTGGAGGTTAACATAATCAAGAAAATTGGGAGGAAGAAGCTTCCAGAGGAAGAAGCTTCCAGAGGAAGAAGGAGAGAAACTGGATTTTTATTTCATTAATGCGACAAAAATTTCACAAATTACACTCAGCATTTAATAAGGAAATCAGTAATCATTACTCTAATAATTGTTGACCAATCATTGACCAAATCTTTGTTTCAGCCGTCATTTAATTGAGTCCAAAACTTCACAGAAAATGCAATTTATCCCCCCATATGTGACAATCCACCCTCCATAGAAAACACCTTATCCTCAAGGTTTGAATCCATCAAATTGCTTGCTGATGAAATTGGCATCTTCCCATGAAGAGTCCTCCTCATTCAGATCCTTCAATTTAACCAACCATTGCATAACTTGTCTTCCATTTCTGTTGATGAATCTCCTTTGTAGCACTTTCTCAGGAAGAAGAACACTTTCTTCAGTCAAACTCAAATCATGAGGAGGACTTGGCACTGGTAACTGGCTACCATGGTGTTTTTTTAGAAGTTAAACGTGGAAAATAGGATGTACCTTGACATGTGCAGGAATCATCAATCTATAACCAACCTCTCCAATCTTCTCTTCCACCTTGTATGGGCCATAATACCTTGACATGAACTTCAACTGAGCTTTAATGGCCAAAGTTGTCTGTTTATACGGTTGTAATTTGGGGTAAACCCAATCTCCAACATTCAGGACCCTCTCAGACCTGTGATTGTCAGCATAAAACTTCATCCTGTGTTGAGCCTTTTGGAGATGTTCTTGCAGAAGTTTCATGATGGAAGCTCTTTACTGAACTTCATTCGCAGCAGCTGGAATAATGTTGTCAGCATACACCCCCAAAGGAAACATATTGGGTTTCTCTCCATACAATACTTCAAATGGTGTCATCTTAATGCTGGAATGGAAAGATAAGTTATACCACCACTCAGCAACGGTTAACCATCTGCTCCATGAACTTGATTTGTCACAGCAGAAATGCCTCAAATATGAGTCCAAGCATTGATTTACTCTTTCAGTCTGTCCATCAGTTTGCGGATGATAGGCAGTACTCATCTTCAACTATACTCCTAAGAGTTTGAAAAACTCTTTCCAGAAGTGACTAGTGAACAATGGATCACTATCAGTAATAATATCTTCTGGCAAACCATGTAGCCTGAAAATTTCTTTAAAGAAAAGTTCAGCCACTTTAGAGGCTATAACAGGTGGTTGCAAGGCCATGAAGTGATTGTACTTTGTAAGACGATCCACCACTACCAATATTGTATCAAACCCTTCTGAGATTCGTAATTTCACAATGAAATCCATGAAAAAAAATTTCCATGCATGCTGAGGAATAGAATTTGGACAAAGCAACTCAGGAGTAGCTAAATGCTCCACTTTATTCTTCTGACAAACCACACAACACCTGACAAACTCTTCTACCTCAGACTTCATATGAGGCCAATAGAAAGTGCTTTTCAACCTTTGCCAAGTAGCATTTTTTCCTGAATGACCACCCAGAGGAAAGAATGGAAAGCTTCTAGTAAGGATTTCCTGATTTCAGTATGCTTTCCCACATAAATGTTGCCATTTTTCCTCAAAATACCTTGAATGTACTAATATTCAGGCTGATGTTGAGAATCCAAAGTTATTCCAGCAATCATATCAATAGCAAAATGATCCTGCTCATAACTCTCCATGATTTCTTGCATCCAAACTGGTTGTACAGGAGTTATAGAATATAGAAATCCCTGACCAAAAACTGAATCTTTGCCATGATTTCTTCTAGATAAGGCATCAGCAGCCTTATTTTTAATCCCCTTCTTGTATTGAATCTCATATTCATACCCCATCAATCTAGTTAGCCATTTCAGTTTATTAGAGTTGTTGACAACCTTCCGCTCCAACAAGTATTTAAGTGACTGATGATATGTTCTTATAATGAAACGGTTCCCAAGTAGATAGTGTCTCCACTTAGTAACAGCTAACACTAAGGCCATCAGTTCTTTCTCATATACAGAAAATCCTTTGCTCCTCGGCTTGAAGGCTTTGCTTAAATAAGCAATAGGTTGACCACCCTGCATAAGAATTTGCCCCCATTCCAGTGTCACAAGCATCTGTTTCAACACTGGATGCTTGTGAAAAATTTGGCAATTTCAGAACTGGAAAGGATGTCATGCACTGTTTAAGAGCCTGGAAGGTTGTTTGAGCTTGCTGATTCCAATCAAAAGAATTCTTCTTCAATAAGTTTGTCAATGGTTTGAAAATGATGCCATAACCCTTGATAAACCTTCTGTAGTAACCAGTAAGCCCAAGAAATCCTCTCAACTCCTTTACATTAATAGGTTCAGGCCACTCTTGAATGCATTTCACCTTCTGAATGTCCATACTGATCCCCTGAGAAGAAATGGTATGTCCCAAGTAATTAACAGAGGTCTTAGCAAATTCACACTTGCTCCTTTTTGCATACAGCTGATGTTCCTGCAAGATTTGTAATACTCGTTCCAGATGGATCACATGATCTTCAAGATTTTTGCTATAAATCAAGACGTCATCAAAGAATACCAAAACAAACTTCCTTAAAAATTGCTGAAATATATGATTCCTTAATAGTCATTTCATTCAACCTTCTATAATCAACACAGATCCTCCAACTTCCATCCTTTTTCCTGACCAAAATCATTGGAGATGCATCAGGACTTTTATTGACTTGCACAATCCCTTGCTCCAATAATTCAACCTCTTGTTTCTCAATTTCTGCCTCATGTGGATGAGGGCATCTATAGGGAGGAATTTTGAAAGGTTGTGACCCCAACTTGAGTGGAATATAATGATCTACATTCCTGCCGGGAGGTAGACTTTCAGGATTAGCAAAAACTTGGTAGTATTTATCCAACAGCTTGCTGGTCTCCTTAGGTAATGGAATTCCCACCATTGAGGTTTCCTGAGTGTCCAGAGAATTCAATTGCATGGAAAACAGTCTTTCTTTTCTCTCCTGATGTAGTTGTTGACTCTCTTTGTCTCTGATCAACCTCATACTTGCCACACTACCACTGCCTTGCAGGATAAACTATCTGCCATATTTACTGAGTCTAACATGCATTTCATCAAAATCAAAGGTAATGAGACTAAAATGCTTCGTCCAGTCAAACCCCAAAATCATGTCATACCCTCCAAGTTTCATAATCTTCAAACTCATTAATATTCCAATGTAGTTTAGGACAAACAAGATTCCCATACACCTTGTTACCATTTCCCGCAGTTATGGTATACAAATTTGCTTCAGTGAAATGCAGTTTCTATTCATGAACCAAAGCTACATCTACAAAGCTATATGTGCTTCCAGAATCAATCAAGATTTTGATCACCCTCCTATCAATCTTTCCCAAAATGACAATGGTCTGTTTAACATTGTCACCCGACTGAACATGTAGAGAACCTTCTTCTATAGTTAAATCATTCAAATCAATCCCTTCATCAACTGTAAACTCTGGCACATTCAATGATTCAGTTCCTTTTTCCAAAACATCATCATCCTCAGTGTGAACTGTCTATGCTTGCAAATATGACCAAGTCCAAACTTCTCACCACATTTGAAACAAAGATGATTATTCATTCTATATTGGTACTCCTCAGGACTTAACTTCTTCACAAAATCAGGGATAATAGGTTTATTTGACTTATCATCTGTTCTTGGAACACTAGCAGTTCTATGAACAACAGGAGAGTTCTAGTTTACCTGATTGTGAGAAATCCTTTGTTTCTTCCCTAAGATTTCTAGTTGTTGCTCCTATAAGTGTGCAATCTTGTACAAGGAAGTCAAGGTAACAAGTTCAAACATCCTAACAGCAGCTTTCAATTCCTCTTTTAGACCACTGATGAAACTAGAAATGAAGTAGCCTCTGCCAGCCTTGGATCTTGTACCAACATTCTACAACGTAATTCCTCAAACTTGTTTTGGTAATCCTTGACAATTCCTGTTTGAGAAAGTTTGTTGAATTCCTCCACCGGATCCAATTCCTCCAATACAATGAATCTTTTCAGTTATTCCGTCTTGAATTGCACCCAAGAAAGTTGAATTGTCATCTTGAAAGACCTAAACCAAGAATCTGGCTGATCGATCATATATAATTCAACATACTCCACCTTCTGATCAGCTACCTGATGGAGGAGAAAGAACTTTTCACACTTCCGGATCCAATCCTTAGCCTTATCTCATGTAAAAATGGTTAGCTCAATTCTTGGATGAGTATACCAAGGTAATTTCTTCTCCTTCTGGTTGTCTACTGCTTTTGATACCGCCGGAGAATCGACCAGTGTTTCCACTACCGGAGTTGTCATCGGAGCTTTAGATTTGTCAGTCGCTGAAATCCCCATAATCCCTTCCTTGCCGTTAAATGAAACCATAAACTCCTTGAATTGAGCATTCATTTGAAGCATGGAACCTTGAATCGCTGCAATTGAGCACTGCATTTCGTTTATCTGTTGACTACGATCGGAGAACTTCGATTCCATGTCGGAGATTCTTGACTCTACGTCCAATCGTCCCACTGACATCTCACCAGAACGCCTTTGTTCTTCCAAATCCTTCTGTGAACGTGTTTGCGTCATTATTGAGGTTCTTGAGATGAGGATTGACTAGCTCTAATACCAAATTGTCAGCCACCTGAACTTTTCCGACAAAATGGCCATCGCCGGAGGTTAACAGAATCAAGAAAATTGGGAGGGGGGAGAGAGAAGAAGCTTGCAGAATGAGAGAAACTGGATTTTTATTTCATTAATTCGACAAAAACTTCACAAATTACAACTCAACATTTTATAAGGAAAATAGTAATCATCACTCTAATCGTTGTTGACTAATCATTGACCAAATCTTTGTTTCAGCCGTCATTCAATTGAGTCCAAAACTTCACAGAAAATGCAATTTAGCCCCTGACATGTGACAATTTTACTAATTACGGTATTAGACAATAATCCACAGAAATCCCTTAAAAAATTAAATAATGTCCAAAATGTTAACAAAAAAAGGGGAAAGAGAAAGTATCTAATAAAACATTAAATTCAATATATATATATATATATATATATATATATATCCTTAAAACAAAACAAAACAAACCACAGAAAAAAGGAGAGATTTTTAACTCTTCGATTTATTGAACAGGGATGTGAGAAGTGCTGGTTAGGGTTTAGAAGGAAAAAAATGCATAACAAGAAATTTGAAAAGGTTTTAATCTTACGTTTAAACTTTTCCAAAGCAACAAAGATGGAAAAGTAAGGAGATTTGAAGTTCACGTTTGAACTTTTGAGGAAAAAAGAAAAAAAGGCAAAGGCATTCGAACCTGGGCCAAACATATAAACATGGGTAAAAATCAAACTCAAATTGAACTTGGGATTACACACACACACATATATATATATAACTTTATGACATATAAATAAAAGATAATATAAACAGTTCGATCCGGTTTCATTAACAGTTTGTGAATATCAAACCGTAAATCAAACCGTTCTTTTTCGAATTTCGAAACTAATTTCAAATTAAAATTTAAATTCAATTGACCGGTTTGTAACAATCCATAAAAACCCCTAGCAAGAAATCCAATCCGCTTCCACCTCTCAATCTCATAGTTCTCAGGATATTAGTGTGTTTGATGTTTGGATCGTGTTTTATGGTGTGTATTTAAGTATTTTTTTAAATTAAGAATGTAAAGAAAATGTAAAAGAAAAATGATGAAATAGTACATTTCTTATTAAACTATTCTGAAAATAACCATTACAAAAAAAACCAAAGAGTAAATCTTCCATTTGCCTCTTCGGTTTGTGATGATGAGATCAGTCAATGTCATGCTGTAGGTTTCAACTTTAGCCCTCATTTCTTAATTTCTTCACACATCCCCCTAAACTGAGATTCATTTGTCTCATCAAAAAAAAAAAAAAAAACCTTATCAACTTTAGAAATGCTAATTCACTCGAAACGGCTCAACTTAAAACCGATTAAGGATGTTCCATCAAGCAACCGAAACCGTCAGGCTGAATTTCTAGAATTTGGTTAAACCCATATATTAGTAGAATTGAAGTTTATATCAAACATTCTACGATGGTCGATCTTCTGCTGCTATATCAAAAACAAAATAGCAAGGTTCTAATAGCTACTGGAGTGATTCTGTGATAGCATCATCAAAGTTTGATTTCCAAACTTCATTTGCCCCTAAATTCCCAGGACGACACGGCGGTCATGTTTGCCTATGTTAATAATATAGCTCAAAAGTTAACAAAACCAAGTCAAAGCACCAAATTTGCACCTAAACATACAAACAATCACTGCATTTTAAATACAGATGTTTAGGCAGGGACCATTTTTACCATCCACCTCCACTTTGGGATTGTTTGCTGTTTCCCCAGCCAGAGTTTCCTGAATCATTCCCCCAGCCACCAGTACCAGAACCCCTACCTCCACCATTTCCACTGGCACCAGCACCCCAGCCACTGCTGCTGCCTTCCCCACCACTCCTGCCACCATCAGTTGTGCCCCAGCCACTGCCTCCACCATCATTACTGGCATTGCCACCACCCCACCCACTACTGCCACCATCTGTAGACGTATTACCACCCCAGCCACCACCAGTACCATTTCCACCAACGCCCCATCCACCTGCAAAGGCTTCACCATCTTTAGAGCCCCACTTCTCGGAACCACAGTCTTCATCTTGTCTGTTGTAATTTCCCCTACCACCTACATATGAGCCAGACCCGCGGCCACGGCCAGGTCCACGGCCACGCCCACGCCCACCATAAGGCCTAGGCATTCCACTAGGATGCCCTTCTTGACTGCTACCATTTCTGTAATCATTTCTTCCTGGAAGAAATCAAGGTGGGAACAGAATTAGCCATTTATTACTGGAGGATTCAGCATGCAATCTTGAGTAACATCCTAAGTGCAAGAATAACTACGAAAGCCAATTATTTAAACACAATGAAGCCACTACATGCAAAAGCTAGAAAAATCAAAGGGCAGAAACTAATAAACATAAAATACATAACCACCGGAACAACTAAAATATCAGAAGTAGGTCCAACTTCAATGAGATGTCTACAGACTGTCAAGAGCCGCATCTCAGGATTGAGTAAAAAGAAGTATGTATGGAATAAGTAGTGAAAGAACCTAGGAACTAAATCCTAATGACCTGAAAACCAGCGAAATCAACCTTTCCAGCTCGATATACTTTTATGGAATTTGTATAGTAGCTACGACTCCAAAAACACAATTTGAATTTGTTTCAGTAAATCAAAGAGGAAATTCAATAAAAATTTGCAAATTAAATTAGACCAGCAGGAGACATTGGTTTCTAATTCCATTTTTTAAAATCATTTCTAGGTAAAAAGTTGCAGGGTAGAGCAAGGGCTAAGGATAACCTGAAAACAAGTGACTATGCCTCTAAAATTTGCTACACATATTAACATACATCTAATTGTCATTTTATCGTTTCAAATGACTAAATAGTAAATTGGTCAGCACATTCTTAAACATACGAACTAAGCTACTGCTGACACAGTTCACTACTACAAACTCCTAATCAACAATGGAGTACTTCCGCAGGGGAGAAGCTAAAAATGTAATTGTACACGGTTTTGTTGCCATTCCATGGGCTTCCTAATCTTACTTCAACCAAAGCAAACAGTTGTCATAAAACTTCAATTCCAAACTACCACATGCAAATTTAATGTACAGTCTATTGCAAACCGAGCAGTTTGCACAAAACCAAATTTAATGTAACATTAAAACAAGTACACCGAAATATTTTCTTGGAAATCAAAGAGAAACTTCATTCTTCTTAATCGAGAAATAACATGATGAACACAACAAACCAAATGGTGTAGCAAATGCAAGAAGCCAAGGACAAAACTAAATCGTATGACCCACAATGCACCGTATGATCATAAAATATCACAGCAGGAAGTCACAACCTCCACCAGACACTTGCACGCAATACAGTTATACTGGGTTGATGGATTAATAATCCTGGATAACTAACATATATAGATATATAACTTGAGGAAGAGCGGATATGAGGATGAATTCCTCAGATAATCGAAGCTGATTTTACGGTACCACTTAAGAGTTTCTCTTTTGAATAAAAGAGGGAGAAAAAAAAACTTGAGGGAGTCGTCACAAATATCCTACGGTAGATACATTATGTCAACTAGTTCAGGTACCTAGATTCTGTTATTGGGAAGGATAAGTGTAAAAATATGGATCAAATTACACCATCTCAAGCCATTTCATCATTTCCTCAAGTAACTAGAGGTAGAGGCCAGTCCCTAATGTCCCTAATATCATCCAGCAGCCTTACATACTTTCCTGATGCTGTTACTGTGGCAGCTATCAAAAGTCAAAGAAAGCCATCGGCTTATCTCAATATACTTCTCACCCGCTTGGTTGTTTACTCATCAATTTCACCAACAATTTAATTATGGAACTCTCTGCAGCCTTTATTGAGACTTAACAAATAAGAAATTTAGTTGCACAGAAATAAAGTCAAATTCAAAAAGACAAGTCGAATTGTACCCAAAGTAAAAATTTTAAGATTATTAACTCAATCTCTCTTCTCAACACACGTGGTATATTTACCAGACGCCCATCCTAATCAGCAGAACACATACTAATCACCGGACTGAATTACATGATATATTACATTCTCATCATACCCAACATTACCATCACTTCAAAGATACAACCATGCAAAAGATACTTCATCAGGCCTCAGGAAAAGTAAAAAGTGAAGAACAAATCAACCAGCATCAAAGAGAAATGGAAGGTGCATTTGAAAGCATAAACAGGGACGATAAGAAAGCAGCATACACCAATCTACCACATGATACCGTGAGATCTGGAAAAGAAACACCACCTCTGTCTACTGACTGGCTACCTTTCCAGCCACCTTCATTAGATGAACCACCCCAGTTGCCACCAAAACCTGAAGTACCCCCTGCCGCAGGGCTTCGCATTGGTACCATAGCAGCAACAGATCGTATTGATGGGGCGGAGTCAAGCGGATCATCAATGTGCCTCTGAAAATATGCCACAAGGCGATCCAGATCCTCAAACATTCTTTTACGGAATTTGAATCCTTTTGGATAGAGACCAATATACTCATGGTGCGGATTTGAACTCCTAATGTAAGTAAGGATAAATGTTCCGGGATGTTCGTGAAAAATCCCAAAGCTGTAAACAATTCTCATAGGATTTTCTGCTTTCTCCGCTCTTAAGAGATCATCCACTTCTGCTTTAGTGCCCTTCCTGAACTTACGGTAATTCAGCATGGCCTTCAAATGAGTAACTAGGGGATCCACATACCGATCCATGACCTATCATTAACCAAAAACTCCAAATGTTAAGTTGGGGCGTAAATAAAATCATACGTTCAAGATAAGGTTGCGATAAGGCTGTGTAAGATGCCAAGTGCAGTAATTACATAAAATGGCAACTATGACAAACGTAGCAGATCAATTAGGAGATCCAGTTAGACTTCCCTTTGACGAAAAACTTGGGAACGAAGGATCTCTATTAAACAAGGAAAAAAAAGGGTACATCTTTTTTTTGCAGAACACCCTGATTATATATGCAGAAAGAGTAAACATCCAGACAGGCAGCATAAGGACATGGAGTTCGGGGGTGGTAGGGGGGCGGTGCAGGAGATAGTGTAGAAAAACAAATTATCATCTCACTGGATGTCTACAAATCTATCAATGGCGACAAAGTACTATAGTGTGTCAGATATGTCACCATGATAAAGTGGAAATCTATTAAATCACAAAGGTCATTTGCATTTACATTGTTCCATGTCCTAGTCTTATTAAAAGTATTTTCAGGTCGAGAAGGTAAAAGGAAGGGTCACAGCTCACGACACAGACAATATATTTTACAAATATCACAAATTTTAACACAAGGACAAATATTGAATAAACCAGCCGAGCCTAATCATGCTCAAATAGCTATACCCTGAGATCTAACTAAGATGCTATCAAAAATACCGAATATCTAAGATTACCAAACCATATTAAACAGAGACAAACCGCCAAATAAGTGGAGCCAGGAAAATGACAACCTGTAATCATTGATTACAAGTTTGATTAATGTCAACCCAAACAAAAGAAAAGTTTAATTTGCAAAATTATTTTCCACACTAAGAAAATGTAAGAAAGGGAAAAGAAATCAAGATCATTTGCCATAACCAAAATATAGATTGCATCCAGAACCAAAATATAGATTGCATCCACAGCATACATGATTCTATAGTCCAAAGGCTACAATGTATGAAAATACCAGTGTGTCAGTGACACTCCTTTCATGACAGCTGCCACGTCCAAAACAAAAGAGAAAGAAAACCAACCGCTATTTATTTATTGTTAATATTTTGAAAATAGATTAAACATTAGCAGGAAACCTAGACAAATGATGTGGTACTGGTGACTAAGCGAAGAAGACTTCGCTACACCTAAGCCATAATGTGGCCAATAACATGGAGAGTGCAAAAAACATATTTCAGAGGAGCAACAGTACAGAAGTTAGAACAGGATCTATATGATTCTTACCTCATCCAAATCCTCAAATATGTCCTCACCAATTTTCAATGTTTTCCCAATCCTGAGCAAGCTTGTTATGTCCTTGTGTTCCTTTCCACCTTCAATTATATCCTTGTGAGCATAAACCCCATCATATATTTTAAGCGTAAGAGTCAAGTAAGAAGGTCCGCGAGAACTTGGACGGACAATACTTTCACCGGGATCTTTGTCAGACAAAAACTGAAAACAGCAAAAGGTTAAAGGTCAATATTGGCAACATGTAAACATCACACAAATGCGAAGATTACCTCTAATACAAAACATAAAAATACATACAAGAAAAACCAATGTATGCATATACACAAAGAAATATTGACCAGCAGACACATAGATGGACAACAAATAGCAACTTTAAAAATATGCGTGCAATGGATGGCTACACACTCATGAAAAACAAATTTCTATGCGATAAATCTATGGGAAACTAAGAATGAAATGAATGTCAACTTTCATATCACCAAAAAAAAAAACCATAAAACACGCAACAATTTAAAAACGAGATTAAGATTCAATGAAATATTAGAATTGCATAAGACAACAATTGCTTCATCAAAATGTTTTCCTGATCATAACATGCCAACAAATCAATACTGAGTAAATCTTGTTCCTGCACATAGCATTCTAGTATGAACTGTTTTTTCTTTAAAAACAAAAACGGTTTATTTCTGACATCCTCTAGGCATATCCTACATTTCACAAGAAACATATATTCTCGCAACACCAAACTATTAGGATCCATAATTATAAGATCTATTTATAGAAAATATAATTCAAGCAGACTTAAATATCATCATAATTTCTTATTCTCTTATTTCACCATCTCATACCTCCATAGCCTCATCAGCCGTAATATTCCGGAAACGAGGATGAACAATCAACCTAGGTTTGAAATGCTTTTTAGCAAGCTCCTCTTTGCGCACCTTTTCCTGCTGTGTTCGCAAGATGCTGCGGTCTTCATGGTAGTATGGATCCATTTCTCGGTAATTCTGATGACGGTTGTTTCTCAGATCACTTTCCTTACAGCTTAGAAAAACCTGATACCTGTTCTTTTGAATAGATTTGACTCTGCAAGTTAAAATGTCACCCTCATGCAGCTTCTCAGACAAATCATCTATACCTCTCCAGTCATCGGTATAGTCTTCCTTTGCCAACATGCCAGTAAGTCCAGAATCAAGAACACAAGTTGCTCTTTGAGGTTGCACCCTGCGAACTGTTGCTTGCACAATTCTTCCTTCAGAGAGTGTTTCCTCCGTCTCCCCAGAAATCATGTAAAACTCCTCATCTTGGCTGGGCTCCTGATAAGGCCTTCGCCAATCCTGGAAACCATGCATCAATTCCAATCTTATGTCATTAAGAGTCTCCTTTTTCCCCTGGCGGTGCTTATCAACAGCATATTCATAAGCATTGACGCCCCTTAAAAGATGAGGTTTATACCTAACATGCTCAATAGCCATCTCCAGTGTTTCCTCTTCCTCAGTGTTTGTCTCATCTCCAACATCCATAATATAAACATCTTTTGCCAGTTCTTGCGCAAGACCATAAGATTCCGGATGTATTCTTGTATCATCCAACAAATCGATGAAATTACCATTGCCGGTAGCATTTCCACTACGGCGAACTCGGAGAAAACCTACAGCATTGACAAAAACCTTTTTTCCAAGCCCATGTGCAGTCAAAAGATCCTTTCTGGTAAATATAGCTCCAGCTCTAACTAGTGATCTTTGCAGGAATGCAGCCTTCCTGGGCCCAAGACCAGATATGAATTGAAGTGGAGCAAACAACCATTCATGACTTGCCGCCAAATTAAGATCAAGACCCACTTGGTTGGTAACATCGACCATGACCTGCTCAACCATAGCATACTTCTCATCAGGAGTAAGATAGCTATCCAAAGGACTAAGTTTCCAAGTCAATATCTCTCTGCCTGGTCCACATAGTGTAGCAACCATAGCTAATGGATTCTGTATGTAACGGCCAAGAGCCACAGCTCGCCTAACAATACCTAAAAGATTGAAAGAATTACATCATTTCGAGCGGATAACAAAAATAACAGAAGTGGGACAACAGAACTACCTGATTGCCCAGGAAGCTGGTCAGCTGACACACGCGAATTCTCATACAAATGTGGCAGAGATTCGTCACCATAAACAATATTTAAGTTATCCAACTCATGACCAACCTCTCTGGGATTCTCCTCCACCATTTTGAAGATGATCTATAAACAAAATTAGAGATTCATTTTCAGAAAGCGGAAGTGCTGTTAAGACATGCCTTGCATTAAAAATGGTATAGAAAATCAACAAGTGCACTCAGCAACTAAATTGTCGGAAATACAAATGAAAATCATGTAATTCAAATTATATAAATGGAACAACTCCCAGTGTATTGTGGCAACTTTTCCACAATTTTTTGAAACTCAATGAACAAGGCACAGAAAAATATACTGCAGAGATTCCAAAAACCTAATCAAGGGTCAAGGGAAAATACCTCGTAAATATCCTCCTTCAGCCGAGTGCATGACAAATTCACTGCTCCAAGGACAACCACGTGCGGTTGATGGTCCATCATAAACTTCAGAACCCGCTGCTGATCATTTTTCTTCCTCTGTTGATCATTGACACTTTGACCACGGAGACTAAGGGAACCAGCAAACAGTACATCTTGAACTTCTCCAGATGAATCCAACATGACAAAAGTAGTCGCAGGCTTTCCAGGACCCCAACAGCAAGCCATGACCCGTGGTGCAACTTCATCATCAGAGCTATCACTTTCTTTCCGCTGATATGGTGCCACAGAAACTCTGTCCCACAAATGCCTACCATACTCCATATGCAACCAACTCTTTGCTTTACTGGTTAAATATGACCTAGCTTCCTTTTCCATTGAAGGGAGAAGAAAATTAAAAAATGCATCCTCAATAATCTGTTTCCTTTGCTCATTCCACAAATTAGCAGATCTGCTCACACTCTGACTACAATAATAATCGTTTGCATCGCCAATCAGCTTGTCAAGGATGGCCTCTGGCAGCTTAATTTTGACTTGAAGAAGCTTCTCCTCTTCAGCCTTCTGAATAAGAAGCCACTGAGCATCCTCAAATTTAGTAAGTGGCTTATTTTTCAACCATTTCACTCCAGCAAACTGATGAAAAGAATCGATTGCTGTATTTCCCTCAGCAGTAGGAGTAGTTGAAACAGTAGCATTGTCCATAAACATTCCACGAACATGTTTCCTCACACTTGGTTCACAGCAGATCTCAACAGCCGCCTGGAGTGGAACACCAACTTAGTGAACCCCCAAAAAGGAAAGGAGAAATAATTAAAAAATCCAGTGTAGCAACAAGCACATAAACCTACCATGTGCCTAGCACCTTTGAGCACGGCTTGAGGAGTATCAAACATAGCACATGTAAAGTTTGAGGCCATCTCCTCTGGAGTTTCTTTGGGATCTTCCAACTCTTCCACTCTCTAGATTTTTAATGAATAGAAAGTTAAAGAGAAGTACGGAATACTATCCTTTCATCAGTTGCTAAATTTAAACATATAAACAAAACCAAGATACATACCATATTTTCAAGTGATATTTGCAAACCAAATTGCTCAGAGCTGTAGCCGAACTTGCTAGACACCTCCCATAATCCAGCCTTACTGCATGTGCTATAGAGAGATTTCCTCTTTGGTCTCTTATACCGCCCTTCATCAACACCCACTTCTCCTGGTGGAAAATGCAGGTTGAATTTCAAGTCAACATCATCCACTTCTCTTTCTGACTCAGCTGCCTTGAGAGCATCTGCGATTGACTCAAAAAGCTTCTGATTCAAATTCAGCCGGGTTACATGATACACTCTACGTGACTCTTCCTCGTAACGTCTGTTGTAGTATGATTCTAGAGCAGTCTTCCGTTTCTGAAGAAGCAGCCACTTTTTGTCCAAATCCTGAATCGCCCAAAGCACCTGCAGGACAAAAACCATAGGTCACACTGCTAAGCACAACGGCAAATATGTTCAGCACAACAGCAAATAGATGTTTGGCACAATAGACACAACAGAACGCATACCTTATGCCATCTAAGCGTAGGTTTCCCGTCAGAATTATTCTGGTCACTGTTTTCAGCATGCTGTGCTGGATCCTTGAGGAGGCTCGGACAATCCTCCTTCCGGTACATAGCAATGAAGGGAACCTAAACATAAAGAAACAAAGTTACTGCACTGCCGAGCTCCGTGCAATGTTAGACATAGATTCTCGTCTGGAAGAAAAATATATATATAGAACAGAACAAAAATTGTTACATCAAATTTTTGGACGTGTGTCAACTCCAGGAATCTCATGATGTCTCTCTTGTACTCTTCCACGACGCGCTCTGTGTCATCAGTTACCAGTGCCTCATTCCCATGCTCATCTGAAACAGTTCCTTTTCTAATATTAGGCAAAGGCAAAAGGCCATGTGGAAGCTGATTAAATATCCAGGAGCTCTCCACTTCTATCCCCTCTGATGAGGGGGCTCCAGTGCTTTCCTCTGACACCTACAGAAGTAAGACAATAAAGGTCAACACAACGATACAGGTATCACAAGCTAGTCCTGAGTTTCACAGCAAACCTGCATTCTTTCAGGGATGTCTTTTGCACGAATTTGGTCATCTTTCTTAGTCATGTACTTTTCAGACAAAATGATGGGCTCAAATTCTTTTTCAAACCCCGTCTCCTTCCAGTCAGCAGAGTCTTCATTCCGGGCATTATTTGACAAACTCATATGTCGAAGCGAGAGATATTCATCGACATCACCAAAAATTTCAATAGCTTCTGAGAGTGCATGTGTAGACTGCCTAGGTTTCTTCTTGTTAACCCTCTTTCTACATGTAAATTAGGCATAAATTAAGCTTTTCCCAAGTTTTAGATAAATTGAAAGAAATACAACTGAATCATAATATATCATATCAGGCTGACTCATACACAATTGATTCACAATTGATTGAAACATCAGAAACTAAAAGAAATGAAAATGATTTAACATTTGCCTCTCATCTAGAAATTCACCTGACAAGACCTCCATTTTCATCTTCTTCCTCACTAACAATAAAATTAGACATATCATCATCCTCATAACCTGACACATCGTCGTCTGCTGTTTGCTCCTCAGGAATATCCTCAAGTGGTTGCCCTTCTAACATAATAGCAGAATCTCAATGTTGTGATAATTCACTAGACAGTGACTTCATGACATAATGAAGAAAACAAAATGAATCTTACCATCATCACCATCAAACAAGGAGAGTTTAACCTTCTCCTCAGCAGTTCTTCCTCTCTTCCCAGTCCCAGTAAAATCCTCCTCATCAGAGAATCCAGAATGTTCTTCTGTTGAAACACCTTGTGCTTTCTTCAACCTTTTAAACTTCTTGCTTTCCTAAAAGAATATCAGGAAAAGATCAGAAAGGGGTGAATTTGGCTCCTAACAACTCAAACTAGACAAAAGGATTACAACCTTAGGCCGGGGAACTGATATGTTGCTCTCCTGAAGCAGCTCATAGTCATCTTCATCAAGAACAAAACTTCTTTCCGAATCTCTACAATTAATAAAAACACCATTAAACTAACCCAATAATACACAGCCAGTCATTTATGATCCAATACTATTCTACCAACTCAAATATACATTTATCGCCAGCGGCAAAGACAAAATAAAAAACCTTTTCTTCCTTTTCTTCTTCTTCTGTCTCTCACCAGCATCTTCCCGACCTTCTTCTTCCTCCTCTTCTTGTTCTTCCTCCTCAACATCACTAACTATAAACCCATCATCCTCATATTCATCTTGCCCTTCCTCTGCTCAACAAACATAAATTTGGGCATTAACCAACAAACCAAGTCCGGAGAATAGAATTAATTTAAGCACAAGAAGTGAAAAAAAAAACCCTTTTCGATTGAAAAACAGTCACTCTTGGAATCTGGTTGCCGATCATATCTATAGAGTCGCAGATATCAATAAAAGCTCTTCCTAAACCAAACTGCCAGCGGTATATGCTGTTTACTAGCAAGAAAATCTTACTTAATAAACCAGCAAACAATCTTTCCAGCTGAAAATGAAATGGAAAACTGTAGAAAGGGGGAAAAAAATTAAGGAATAACAGTAAAATGGAGATATTATCCTACAAGGACAACATGCAAACACAACGGTGATGAAAATGCTCAAATTTCAGACCCAAATAGCATTTCCCCCAACAACAAAAAGAAAAAAACATTTTATACCCCGAAATACAAAAGCCCATTGACCCATTTTATCAGTGAAAAATCTACAAATTTAACAACTGCAAAATCTTCGTCGCCTTCAAACCCTAATTTCTCGCCCAAAAAAAAAAAAAAAACCACACCAATCCACCATTTACGGCAGAAAATAAAGAAAACACGCCGCAAAAGAAACAAAATTGAGTAAAGACGACCAACCATCATCTTCGTCCTCATCATCGTCGTCGCCGTGTTCAATCCTCTCCCCTTCTGGCTCTTCGTCTCTTTCCTCTTCCTCGACACCAACATCATCTATACCAACGAAACAAAAAGGTGTAACATTTAAATAATCTTTCAAACAACCCCCTTCCCAATCAAAAGTCACATCTTTATGCGTTAAAAATTGGATCAAACTGCAAAAAAATACGGGGGAGGAAAAAAAAAATCCTCATTTCACCTTCGTCATCGGAGATTACAGCTTTCCCAACCATTTCTTAAACAATAAAAGAAAACCCTAGAAGGAACCACGAGAAAACACACGGTGAAAGTGCACTGCGAGGGGAATTTTGCCCTCTTTGTCTGATCTTCCTACTCTCACAGTATAGACTGAAACAGAAGGGAAAACGGAGACGTTCTGATACAAAATCACACTGTATGTGAAGGGAGAATCTTTAGAGATGTAGTACTAATTTAGTCTAAGCCCTGAAGGTTTCGTTAATTGTCAATTTCTGCCCCCAACTTAATATTTGTTTCATGTTACAACTTACACTAGATCTGCCTGGGCGCCCCTCTATTTTAAATTTGTGTTAATAGATAAATAAATTTTTGATTTGGAAAAAATTAAAATAGCTACATATTTGGTTTTTTTTCTTTTTTTAGCCAAAAATAAAAATAAAAATAAAAAATCACATGCCAAAGGAAAAAAAATGTTAAAAAGTACAACGATGCAAAAATCATACAAAAGAATGTGGAGTAATAAAGGGGATAAGTTTATGGACAAATTTAAATGTTATTTTAATTTGATTGATAAATGATAAATGTTAGGAGTTAAAATTGTGTAGCTATTTTTGTAAAGTAACTTTTGTTTCTCCGGATAAGAATATTTTTTCTTTTAAAAAGGGGATGACACGTGGCAGAATGGTCAATGCAATATGGTGCATTTGGAGCCAAAAAGTTTTAATAAGAAGTTGCCTCATCAACATCCTGTATTCTGCTTTAATAGGGTAAAAGGGATGTGCTTTGACACTACTAGCATTTCATTGACGCAAATATCATTATATATATATTAAAGGAAAGAAAGATAATTGACACGTGTCGCTAATTTAGACCATCAAGTATCACTTTTAACTTATTATCATTTTAGCCTTTAAAGTTTTATTTATGTGTTATTTTGTCTTTAATTTTATCGATTTTACATTTTCAAGGACGATTAATTGTGTCTAATCTCCAAAATCCCCTTGCCTATAAATAAGTCATAGGCATCTAGACATAATTTACGTATTTTTAATATATTTTTTAATCCAAACACAACATTAGTTAGTTGTGACAATTTTTATTATACAACTTCTCAAAATTTTTGTTGTAATATTTTTTGCCAGATCTTACAAATATACATCTCATAAATAATATCAATACCTCTCATTTTGATCTAAAATTGATTAATCAAAAATATTTTACGGTTTTAAGAAATATTAATAACTACATTATCTAATTAATTCTTTTGAAAGATAAATTTTCAACATTGACAAACCCCCGTAAAGCGCGGGACACATACTAGTATATATAAAAAAAAAAATTTTAAAAATCACTTTTAGTTTATGAGAGGTCAATAGTAAAAGAAATTGAGATTGTATTGCCACGACCACAGAGATCTTCTAAAACACTTCCGAATTACAATGCATGTGAAGTTGATTCAATTTTTTTTTATATTATTTCTATTCCAAAAAATAGTCTACATCAAAGAAAATAGTCCATATTTGAATAATAATAATAATAATAATAATAATAATAATAATAATAATAATAGTTTATATTACAAGTTCTAATAATAATAAATATTATTTATCAGTTTTTTAATTAATTTTTAAACCTTTTTTTGGTTGCCTCCTTCTTGAAATGATTGTGTTATTTGGATTTTAATTTTTTTTTAGTATAAATTGTACCGAGATTAAAAATTTAAACCGAAAAATCATTTTAGTACAAAGATAATATATAACTCCTCTAAAAAATATTTTAATCATTACCACAAACTACACTGATTCTCTCTTACATCATATATACAAGATGCATAATCTCACTCAAATTGAAGTTTCATTGAAATCTTTTTCCCTCTTAAATGCGAGAAAAGTATTAATAAACATATATATAAATGATAATAATTTATTTGACCAAAAACTGATTAATATAATTTTTAATGTAACATATATAGAAATGATAATAATTTATTTGACCAAAAACTGATTAATATAATTTTTAATGTATACAGTGTGTACTAATTTTTAGGGATATAAAGAGTACTTTTTTGTCAGAGTGTAGTTCAATTTCTCGAATAGATATTACGTTTGATTAGTTTAATGTGATATCATATCGTTAGTAATGGGACTCTATCTTAATTCTAAACTTCATAATGTAAGCTATTAGAAAAATAGAAATACAAATTCTTTTCATGCAATTAAAAATCAATATCATCCACGACATCCTATTTTTTGTATAACCACTCTTATTTTCTGCATCATTTTCGTTGTATATTATCGTTTAACAATATTCCGTCATTTAATGTTATGGAAAGCACTGTCATACACTACAAATGCTCTTTAGAGTATGTCTTTTATGAGTCCAGTATGGCTTGATGTCTCAAAATAGTTAATAGTAGCCTAGAACTACAAGATTGTCAATTAACGAAATTATGACCTAATAGTGGTAGGGCATTGGGTTCAAGATAACAAGGGACGTTTGAGTGAGTAGCTAGCAGCGTGGGTGTAAGTCTTATCAATTGTGCATAAAACCATGTCTTGGGATGTTTATAAGAGTTCAGAGCACTTTGGTCGTGAGTCATCATCATGTACGAAAATTTTAGACAAAATTTTGTAAGGCTATTGGTATGAGTTGCGACCTTCATTTGTGCATGAAATCGTGCTTTAGAGTGGGTCATTTGCATAAAGAATTTGATGCAAATCTACATGAGAAAATCATTCTTCCAATTTTAATGTTTGTCCAGATTATATTGAAGTCCTGCTTGGTGTAGCTAGTAAAAATTTTCTAATCTCAGCTTCTGGTTGCCAAGTAATGTTGGTAAAGATTCAAATACTGTAGAGATCTCCACATCAGATTACTGAGAATTATACAAAAGCAGCAGTGTACCTTAATCCGAAGTGACGAGAGCATCAATCCAGGTTTGGTCTTCCAGATGATTTTGTCAAGCCCTTGCAGGAACATTTGACAAATAGAGAGTCGAGATTTGGTATGACGGCTCATCCGGAGACCATAACCAATTTATAATAGGATTTTCAATTCCATCCATCACAGAATAGGAAATCGGGCTTTAGGCTTTCCACACAATACTGAGCCACACCTAATAAGATTTCATAAGTCCAAATAACTTTAACCGTAATTAGACCACTTAAGTTGGGTTGGTAACTTAAGATAGTACTTATATACAATTAATTATGCACAATGTTAAGTCCACACAAAATAGATCTTATAATCTTCCACTTGGACTATATGTTATACACACTTTATAATTGTATATTTCGTAAACCTTATAAATACTCAAAATTTTACTATCATAAAAATTATCTTAAACAATCCGGTCCATTAATTACATTAACATCGTATTAAAGGAGTTTTTGCTGCAATTATCGCAACTAAACCCATCAATGGCCACATACATTAACATACCTAAAAGACACGAGTCAAGTGTGGATGTGTATCATGGAAATTTCATGCAATGTTAACATGTCTATTTCCAACTGGTCCTCCTTGTACCTTAGTGAAATCAACCGAAGTTTCAGAATGTAAGCACAGAAAACTTTAACCCTTATACCTTAGACTTTACTTACACTTTATACTTTATACTGCAGTATTAGTAGTCAAATATTCTTAAAAGTATGAACCTTTAAAACAAAACTAAAATTACAAACTATCACTAAACTATTATATCATCAGATTAAACAACACTCCATTTAGCAAGATACTCAATGAATACCTTAGTTGGAGTAATCTGTGATATTGTAGTTCGTCCAAATGTACTTTTTAAAAAAAAACTGTTCATTTGAAAGTTACACCTAACAATTAATGACTTAATTTTAATTTTATTAGAGTATCTAAATTGTAGCAACATTGCCACATTATAAGTTTAAAAGTCTTTTAAAGCCATACTGTATTTGCAGCCTTGTGACAATATGGGCAACTAAACAAAAATGCTAGTCTGGATACAGAATGATCTCTAACTAGACCGAACTCCGATATGTGAGCATGTAATTTTTAATGTCTTATTGATTCCGTGTAACCTTAAAACTACTACTAAATATCTAAATAAGATTTTTTAAAATTATCTGCCTTAAACTCCCACTGAAACTGTGATGTGTATAATCGTCACAAGATTTATCTCAAAATAAGATGATAACTTAGAGACACTTGAGTTACTAACAACAAACTTATATAAGCCCATAGATGGAATTCTTTAATTTGAAAACCATCAAACAAAGTTTCTTGGTTGCACCAAATACATTATTTCAAAATGTCACTGTTAAGAAACGGTTTTTTTTTTAATTTTTTTTATACACTAGTGTTTACCCTACATGTTGTGCGGGTTGTTTAAGATATGTACGAGTTTAATGATTTTGCGATTATATAACATATCTGACAGTGTGACATATGTTAAAAGATAATATTAATGACAAAAATTACTATGGTATAATTTTTCATGTCAATCTATTTTGTTATTTAACTACATTTAGAATAATTTTCAATATTAATGTAACTTATTGTACGTTTGGAAATTAAATGATAGCCTAATAGTTAGAGTGTTATCTTTCTTGGTAATAAACCAAGGTTCGATTCCCACCTAGGGGTTTGTAAGGGAGAATTTTACCCACATTTAAGTGAGATTCACTGGGGTGATTTTTTTTTTTTTAAAAAAAACTTATTGTCCATTTTTTCTGTTACGTTGATTTATGCCTTTATGTAGTTTAAAAGTATTACTTTACTTTTGAATAGTGATCTCTCTAAATATTTACACATGTTATATTTTTTTCATAAACTTATCTTTATTTTTTTTCCATCTCTTTATATATCATTTGCAACCTTTTCTTTTTTAAGTTTGCCCACACATTGTTCCTATAATATAGTGTTTATTTCACTTTTTTTTTTTCTTGGTGCATAGTATTCACTTTTTTTCCCTCTAAATTTAATGAGCTCTCATTAAAGTTTTATTTCTTCAAAAATTTATAATAATTATTTTATTTTCCACTGTTATCTCTTTTTCTTTTTCCTCATATCTTTTTGTTCTCTACATAATTTTTTCCTCCATATACTTATTTTTTTAATTTCTCAATATACTTTTCTTCTAATATTTGTCTATGATAAACCTTTATTCTTTTTTCTTATTTTGAAAAACTTTTTCTCTCTTGATCTTTATGTTTTATTCTATCGTCATAATATTAATTTTTTCTACCAATATATCATATAGGAAAAAATGTAATGAATCATCTAATTGATTTTTTTATATTTTACTGCAGATTACTGATCTTTATTAACGTTAGAAGATTTATCGATAAAAATCGCATGCCACACCTTAATTTCAAGATACATATGCAAAGAAAAAGGTAAAAAAAATAAAATTATTTAACACCGGCATTGAGTACTAATTCTCTTAACTACGATGATACAATTTTGATTATGGGCCAACTAAAATATGCATCTTATTATTTTTTTTATCCGGACGGGTTAATGTTATAAGGAATAAATTACTTTAAATACTTATTTAATTTCTTTTTTAACTTATCTTATTTGATATTGATATTTAATTATGCTTAATTTTAAGACTTATTCTCCCCAAAATTATTCTCTACATTTATCTAAAAGGTAAAAGGTAAATTAAACGTCTCTTGAATGCAGAATTGTGTTTTAATCTAACAGTCAAATTTTGCTAGATGGTATTTAATCTAACGGCTTAATTTGGTTTGATGGCACAATTTTAAACAAGGTTAAATATGTAATTGCGAAATTAAGCTCTTTTCCCATTTATCTTTTCTTTTGGCAAAAAAAGTTGACGAACCAAACGATGTCGTCCTTTTTCCCATTTATCTTTTGGCAAAAAAAGTTGACGAACCAATCAACGTCGTCCATCCAAATGGCACCGTTCAGCCATCAAATTGGAGAAAATCAAAACCCCTCATTTCCCCTAATTTTTCTTACGCGTTCATTTTCTTCCTTCTCCTCGCCGGCCAACACCTTCTCGAATTTTTATTCTCCTCATCAGAGAGGCGAGTCCTCCTCCTCGCCGGCCAACACCTTCTCAAATTTTTATTCTCCTCCATCATTCACATCGGAATCCAGAGAGGCGAGTGGAACCCAGTAAATTAGGATTGAAGCGGATGTGGTGGCGACGGTGGCGAAGCTTAGAGGAGTTTGAATCAGTGGCTCTAGAAATCGACGGTGACCTCCCATTCTAGGTCAGTGACACTACCCGCAGATCTGATTACTTCCGGTTTTCTCCTTCACCTTCATTAGAGGTGGTGCTGACTGGCGAACACAATTCGGCTCCAGTCTCAGTGGTGGTGGTGGCCGGAAAAGTGCCATGGGATGCCAATCAGAACAAGTATTATAATTGAGCAAATACTTGAGGTGATTATACAAGTATAATTGAGCAAATACTTGAGGTGATTATAATTCAATTCTCTGACTTAAGTTGCCTCTGATTTACAATTTATTCAATAACCGAAGAATGATTTGATTACAATTTGAAATAGTTTTTTCATTCCTCTGCAATAATTAATTGCTGATTTTTAGTTTTAGTTCCCGATTTTTAATCCGTGAATTTTGCGTGGCGGCTATGGAGGTTCGAACTGGTTTTCAAAGAAGCTACTTGGGTTGAGATAAAAACTGGCATTAGGGAGAACGGTAAGATCAAATTTCACCCCAGAAACACATTTGGGTTGTTCTTTTGTAAATGTTGTTGTGCAAATTTATACTTCGTTTAGGTTTAGCAATCTGCTAGCCTCTAGAGGTTTATGACTTGCTCTGAGATTCTTTATGTTTGATATTTCAGTAATGTCCATCTATATTGTCAGCAAAAGATAAAAATCTTCCTTAAAGAGGTTTAAATCTGTTCTAATTCAAATTATGATGATTGTTTTGCTTAAATACCCCTTGGATATTTAAAATAACCTTGATTATGATCATCTGCTTGGATATTTTAAAATCATGGCATTATTACAATCAGGGGAACATTTGGCGGAGAAACCCGCAAGGCCAACTCCGGCAATAAAACCTCAGGTAGGTGCTCTGCTCTGGGTTTTTGTTTAAATGCAGCATACGGAAGAATCACCAGCGTTTATGTTCGAGTCGATGTGAAAGCCGTTGATATGCCTCTTGATGCTGTTGATGTTTTCCGGATTCCTCCCGGACACAATGCTCCACAACAGGTTCCCTCTTTGGTCATTTTCTCTCTACGAAATCATTGAATTTGTGATATATGCTTGAATAGAATTGAAATCTTGATATTCTAATTTGTACCCATTAGAATTCTGAGTCCTTCGACCTTCCTTCTGTTTTCCGAGTCTTTGATTAGTTTAAGGATATTGGACAATTAATACTAATGCAGTTTTCTCTTTGGTTCAAATTAAGTTCATATAGTTCATTAGAATTCTGTTTCGTTGTTGTTGTTTTTGTTTTTTGGTCTTGAAAAGGTTAGGAATGTTGGGCTATTGGGATAGTGTTACTCTCTATGCAACTGTTTTGATTGATTATATTTTAGGTTCATATAACTCAAGGAGATCATGATGGAAAAGCAGTGATTGTCCAGTTTATAAAAGTAGACCTTTCATATTATATTTTGCTAGACCAAATTTGGTATTCAAGATCCAAATTTCAATACATGTCCTTTTGTTGGTTGTATCTTCATTATTTATAATGAATATTGATACATATATTTTGCGTTGATAGAGGCGACAGATGCAGTAGAAAAGGAGCAAGATAAAAAAAAATGGTTGGATGATGTCTCTGTGGAGGAGCATTAGCTTGAAACGTTCAGTAAAGAAAACCAATTCCATAAAGAGCGGAGGCTGCAGGAGTTTCAGTTTGTGGTGGGAATAGTGTCTTTACTCATGGTAATACTTAATAAGAACAAAGTTTTGAACTCCTTCTGATTTATACTATATACTCATCAGTCTAGCGGATTTATTAGGTAACATGTCTTGATTCAATCTTTTCATTTTAGCTTGTACAACATATTTCCTAACATTGTAGATTATGCTATCATTTTATTTAAAGAATGGGCCGGGCACTGCGCGACGAATGATAGAACTAGTAGTATACTTAAATTTTTGATACACAAATCATTTCGTTATATACTACTAATAAGTATATATGGCGTGTGGATGACGAAATTTTTGTAAGTTTGCAATATAGTTTCCATATTATTTTACCCCCCAATATTACTATGCATTACTCAGGAAGGATGTTAAATTTTCAGTACATTTAAGAGATTAATTTTACTATATATACAGGATACTTGCAAATCTCAAGCCTATGTCAATGTAGAAAGATAAGAAAACAAATTCAATTGAATAATATTAAACACATTAAGATGAGGATTAAAAGAACTATAAGATAAAATAGAGGGATTATACATTTGGTGTCCCAGTTATACTACTTGTGCGAGATATTGTGGCAAAATCATCAACATTATCTACAATTGTTCGATGCAATACCAATGGTTTTTCGCTTCCACTAAATCTGCCGACTTTTAAATTCATAAACGCAATATAAAGAACACAATACTACTGTAAGTTTCTGGTTGTTTCTTCCCTTCATCAACTAATAATATTTGGTGAGAAAATAATCCCACACCTAAAAGCTAAATATGTATTACACTAAGGCATCCGTGGCTTGTTAACCGAGAGTACAATTGTTAATTTTACATTTTCTTCCTTTTTGTTTTTTAGTTAATTTAGTTTTTATCTATGGATTTATAATTTTACATTAAAAAATTACCATTAAATAATGAAATGGTTTGGTTGTGACATGTGGACTTAGCTATCTAATTTTTCGATATGTGGATTAGTCTATCTAATTTTACGCCATGCATCTGATTGAAAACTCTCTTTTAATATATATATATGTATATATATATATATATATATATCCATCTAATGAAGCCTAAAAAACAAAAAATGTACTATATATGCCATTAGAGTCTTTAAAAGGTCTTTTAATAATACCAAAAAGAAAGTCTCTATACGACCAAATCCATGTTTTATTATAAACCTTTTAAATAGTACCGAAAAGAAAATCTCTATACGACCAAATCCATATTTTATTATAAAATTCCATCGACAACTGATTTTGAAAAGTGAAATTTGTAAAAATAAAAAAGAAAAATTGCCAAAGGAAAACTATGCGAACGATACTGATGGTTATAAAACTTTATACTTGAAGAATTATATAAGACTTACCTTTTGTGACGAAAACAAAAGGAATGTTTTGGTGCAATAATTTGCAAATAGGGGCGAAAAGAAGCGTACCCTTGACAATGGTAAAAGAGAATAAGATTTCGCCAAGTTTGTTTTACTTCGGCTAGGGGATCCATGTTGTTGAGCCGAAATTACGATTCTGTACCGTATGCTATTTTCCAAATATCGTATTTGATTTAGTTGTTCTAGCTTGGATTTTTTGGTTTTAAGCTTCTGTTCTGATGAAATGATGTTGGTTTATTCTCTAATGAGTCGATTCCTGATTTGGTTCCACGTTTTTCGAGACATCTGTATTTTTTTACTGAATAATGCTGGAATTTCTCATAGCTGATTAGAATGATTATGAAGCAAGTCAAGGAACTGGAGCGAATGAGAGGCGAAGAGCTTGTAATGATCAAGAAGTTGTGTACGTGGCTAGGAATAAAATGGGGAGGTTCGGATTCTACATTGCAAGTGTCCTTGGAAATGCTACCAAATCTTTTCCCTGAGAATAATTGCTTCTATAAGCCCTCATCATTCTAATCTCAGAAAGCATTTGTATGATGATCATCTCAGATTGTGTTTTCCTATAATTTGTTTTCCATTTACTGCAAATAGTCCTTTCGAACATAGTCTTATACATATGTCTCTGTTGAGGATACATAGAGTTGTATTGTCTTAAGATTAAAATATAAGAAGTATTTGTGGTTGGAAAAATCATACAAGAATGTGACAAGAACAAGACAAAATATAAATGAATTTTCAAGAAGAAATATTTAAAGACAATATTAAGAAAAAACACCGCAGTGATTGAATGTGTTCTAAGCGTGTAATCACTGTCCTTAAAACAATATTTGCCTCCACTACTTTAAAAAATCGGGTTTGATTGGCAATTTATCTCTAAGATATGAAGAATCATAAGGACCAGGAACTTTGCAATTATTCCTTATTTTTTAAAATTTTAGGAATGCAAAAAAACTTATCAAAGACCTACACCTATTTATAGGCAAACACTAGAAATTGAAAAAATACCAATCAAGGTTTATATCCTTTGAGTTTTAAGTCACCAACATAATTTTTCATGAGAGCTTATCATGTTTCGAATTCTTTTGATTTCTTGACACCCTTTAGTTGGTTCCAGAAAGATTGAACCAATTTTGAATTGCAACTTTTCGTTTTTTGTTTTATTTCACAAACTAAAACCCAACAATCAATTGGCTTTTAGAAACGAGCAACCAACAAATTAGATATATTCGTGACTAATTTTCACTATAGTATGGTTTAAGACGAAAGACGTCACTCCTTATGCATGATTCTCAATACTTGTGACTATTTTATATCACAAACTAAGTGGGGTTAGATTTTAGTTTGTGAAATAAAACCAAAAACGAAAAATTACAATCCAAAATTGGATCAATCCTTTGGAACCAACTAAAAAAGTGTCAAGGAATCAAAATAATGCAAAACATGATAAGTTCTCAAGAAAAGTGATGTTGGTAACTTGGAACGCAAAAGCTATAAGCCTTGATTCGTATTCTTTCAATTCCTAGTGTTTTTGGTAAGTCTTTTTGCATTCCTAAATTCTTAAAGAACAATGAATAATTGCAAAGTTACTTGTTCTTGTGATTCTTCATATCCTAGAGACAAATTGCCAATCAAACTCGGTTTTACAAAGTAATGGGAGAAAATATTGTCTTAAGGACAATGATTGCACGCTTAGAACACATTCAACCACTGCAGTGTTTTCCCAGTATTATCTTTGAATATTTTTTCTTAGAAACTCATCTATGCCTTATCTTGTTCTTGTCACATTCTTATATAATTTCTCCGACTACAGATACTTCATATCTTTCATAGTACACTCCCAAATATAAGTCTTTCTCTATGAGCCAATTATTTGCCTATAACAATCATGTTTTTAACGGTACATGGACAAAAATCACACGTCTTTCAAAACTTTTTTTGACAAGTTAATTTCGCATCAAACATCTAATTTAACATCCTCCCTTCAATTTTCCGACCATCAAATAAATGCAAAATAACTACTACATGTTCTGCTATATGAGACAGCAAACCAAAACTGAAAGCCCAAAACATATAGTTGATTAGACCACCACCATCAAATAGCTGCGGCAACACGGGAACCTGCCTAGATGTTGGACTTAATATTCAAATAGTGAATGCCATTTGTAACCCAATTTAATCAGAAGTAATCGACAACACATACTAGACGTCATTCCTTTGTGTTTGCTAATGGCCGACTCTTTGTTGAAACCACCACATTGAACTTAATTAGATTGAGGTCTATTTTTTTTTTTTTTTTTTTAACTTCTTTATTGACATATGAACATGTTAGGTCAACATCACCCGGCGTTAAAAAGTATTTGTATAGTATTGACATCATTTTCATCATCACAAAGGGTACCTTTCCACACTTTCTTGACACTTCTACACCTTCCATTGCTAATTACATCGATTTTTTTTTTTATTTTTATTTTTTTGTGAAGATTTCTCAAATCAAACCAGTTGGAACCGTATCAATATTAGTAGGGAAATCTCACCAGTAATAATAACGGCAATGCAGTGTCTTATCATTCCAAACCTTCTTCTATAATACAAGTACCCTGAACCACCCAAAAAACAAACAAAAAACACATGCTTACTTAACTTCAACAAAACTCAAAAATATGAATGTACCTCAATGAGTGAAAGATGAACAATCGGGTCTGTTAGCAATCTCCACAACAACTTGAACGATTAAGAAAAAAAAAAATTCTGAATATTCTAATCTCATTCAGTTTCAATATTCAACATGGCTACCTTTTCCTCAAACTGACACCATTTGTGTGTTCTTTGACGGATTAGCTTGTAACTTTTCCATACCCGGTGAAAGTCAAAGCATTGACTCCTCGTGAATCTTGTTATTATTTAAACGCTTCAATCTTTCTAACTTCTTTATCCAAGGCAATTCT